GCCTTGTTTCTTTCCATTTTATTTTAGTTTAATATTTATTTACTTATTTATGTCTTTTAGAGACAGGGTCTCGCTGTGCAGTTCAGGCTGACCTTGATCTTACTTTGTAGCCCAGGCTGGCCTTGAACTTGGAACAGTCCTCTTGCCTCAGCCTCCCAGGTGCTGGGATTACAGGTTTACAGGTGTGCCCCACCATGCCCAGCTTTTCATTTTATTTAGTTGTTTAAAGAACTAGCTCTTTGATTCATTGATTCCTTGTTTTGTTAGGCTCAATTGCCTTAATTGCTGCTCTGATCTTTATACTTTCCTTCACACTTTGGGTTTAATTTGCTCTTTTTTTCTAGAACTCTGAAGTCAACATTAGGCTGTTTATTTGAGCTTGCTCTGTTTTTCTGATTGGAATTCACTGCTATAAATTTCTCTTGTAGAACTGCTTTCATTGCATCTCATAAGTTTGGGTATGCTGCCGGGTGTGGTGGCGCATGCCTGTAATCCTAGCACTCGGGAGGCTGAGGCAGGAGGATTGTTGCGAGTTTGAGGCCAGCCTGGGCTACAAAGTGAGCTCAAGTCCAGCCTGAACTGCATAGCGAGACCCTGTCTCAAAAAGACAACAACAACGAAGTTTGGGTATGCTTTCTTGGCATTATTGCTTAATTGTAGAAACGGTCTGTAATTGCTTCTTTAATTTCATCTGTGACCTTCTGGTTGTTGAGGAAGATGTTATTTAATTTCCATGTGTTTATATAGTTTTTGTGGTCTCTTGTCAGTGATTTCCAATTTCATTGCACTGTGACCTGATAATATGCATGGGATAATTTCAGTTGCTTTGCATTTACTTAAGCATGTTCTGTGAGTTAGTATGTAGTCTATTTTGTTTTGTTTTTTGAGGTAGGATCTCACTATGTAGCCCAGCCTGTCCTCAAACTCATGGTGATTCTCCTGACTCAGCCTCCAGAGTACTGGATCACAGGCATGCAGCATCACGGCCAGCCAAGTATGTGGTCTGTTTTGGAGAAAGTCCCATGTGCTGCTGAGAAGTATGTATATTCTGTTGTTGGGTGGAACACTCTGTAGATGCCTACTAAGTCCATTTGTTCAGAGGTTTGATTTAGCTCTGATACTTCTTTGTGGATTTTTTTTGGGGGGTGGTCTGGCTGATCTTTTGTGTGTGTGTGTGTGTGTGTGTGTGTGTGTGTGCGCGCACACGCGCGCCAGGAATCGAACTCAGTACCTTACACTTCCCAGGCAGGCACTTATGCTGCTGAGCTATATTCCCCTGGTTGATCTATCTGTAACAGTGTAGTATTGAAGTTTTCTATTGTAACTGTATTAGTGCTTAACTGATTTTTCATATCCATTATTATTTGTTTTATGTAGCTAGAAGTGCCAGTATTTGGCGCATATGTATTCATGATTGTTATCTCTTCCTTTTGGATTATCCTTTTAACAAGTGTCTTCTTGTCTCTTTTGGTCAGTCTTAGCTTGAAATCCGTTTTGTCTGCAAATAGAATGGTGACCCTTGGTTTTTTTCCTCGTTCCCATTGCTTGAAATAATTATTTTTTACCCTTTGACTTGCAGTTTATGAGTTTCTTTTTGAGTTAAGTGTTTTTCTTGTATGCAGCATATGATTGGATCTTGTTTCTTGGTCCATTCTGCTAATCTGTTTCCTTTAATTGGTGAATTGAGACCATTCACATTAATTGATGGGTATAACTACAAGGTATTACCTTGTCCTTGTCAACATATTACTTTCCTGGTTTCCCTTCTTTTTTCTTCTATTAGTTGCTTGCCTTGCCTGGTGGATTCATTCTTTTTTTCTAGACTGTCCTTTAAGAAGTGCTAGTTTGATGGTCATGAATTTCTTCAGGTGTTTTGGAACACCTGAATCATGGAAGTATCTCATTTCTCCTTTGATTTTGAAAGATAGTTTTTTGGGGGTTTATTAATCTGGGTTGGAGGTTATTTTCTTTTAGAGCTTGGAACACTTCAACCTCTCCTTGACTTAATGGTTTGGGTTGAGATATCTGCTGTGAATTTAATGGGTTTTCCTTTATAGGTGATTTGTTTCTTTTCTCTGATAGCTTTTGATATTCTGTTCTTGAGTTGGATTTCTGGAATCTTGACTGTTACATACCTTGGTCTAGTTTTCTCCTGATCATGGCTAATTGACGTTCTGTATGCCTTACTCAACTGTATGTCATATTCTTCGTGCTTGGAAAGTTTTCTGTTACTCTGTGAACAGTTTTTTTTTATGTCCTTTGTGCTATCTTACGATTTTTCATTGATCCCAACTAATCTTATGTTATTCTCTTTGGATCATGTATTACTTGTTGGATTGATTTTTCATGGTCTCTATATTTTTAAGAAGTTTTTCTTTTGATGATCACTAACCACAACCCTGTCTTCTAGATCTGATATTCTATTTCTACATTGATTGATGCTGCTGTGTATATTTTCTACAGAAGTTTTAGTCTCCTGGATATCCGTTTGAATCTCTTTTATGGAATCCAGTTCTTTCTCAATGTTGGACATTCATAATTTTAATCACTTTCCTAACACCTCCATTTTTTTTTAACCTATATCTGCTCTAGATTCATTAACCATGTCCTTCATTATGGTCATTATTTCTTTAATTGTCTTTGAAATTACTTTTTTTTTTCTAGAGCTCCTTTCATGTACTTTGTTACTTCTGATGCAGAAAGTTCAGCTGGGTGGCTTTTGAGTTCTACTATCTCAGTGTCCCCTAGATTTGCCTTGGATGAGCTGGAGGTCTGGGATTGTGTCTTGCTTCCACGTTTTCTCATTTTTTAATTAATTTATTTTCTGCATTAATGCTTATAAATGCTGTGGTAGATAGCTCTAGTATTGTGACCTCTTTAGGAAGTGATTACTTTCCAGAGATGTCTTCTAGGTGTAGCCAGCTTTTGGCCTTCTGAGTCTGCTCCAGGATCCTTCCTCTTCTGTTTATTAGGGATGAGAGGTTGCAGCCTGTTTGGCCTAGCACCCATTCTTTGGTACTTAACTGTAGTATTGTAATATTGTTTTGGCATACAAGGAAGATCCGTTGATTACAGCAACTATGTCACCTTGGCTGAATTAGTACAGTCAACAATAACAATAGCATCAAACACAGATTGGAAAATGACAAGCAGTGATAACTAACAATTTGCTACTTTTAGCCATATGTACAAGATTTATACTTATATAACAAAATCTAAGACAAATCAGAAAATTATATACAGCAGATACCATTCAGTAGAGCAGTTTTACCCTAAGGTGAGAAAATTAAAAGAGAGAAGAGGGAAAAATTAGAAAAATAAAAGAAGAAAAGAAGATTAAAAGCAGGCTGGAGGACAGAGGAAGATTACCCAAGATTCAGGAAACTGGTAAGACAGGAGGGAAGGAAAGAATGCAAAAACAGAACTAGGGACAGAACAAAATAAAAAAAAACTATGAATTGTTCATTCTCACAAAGAAACACAAATAAGAAGAGGTTAAAAAAAAAACGAAAGAAAACTAAAAAAAAAAAAGGAAAAAAAAAGCCATTTCTCTGTGGTTCATCTGGGGTCTATAGTTTCGTGGCAGTGTCTAGTTCAAACTGTGACACTGCTCTTGCTAGTAGACAAAGGAGACAGTCAGAGCCCAGATCCATGTTGAATACCAGTGAGCTGGTAGTAGGATTAGGGCATGGGGTTTGTTTTGGGACTTTCAAAATTCATGGAAGTTGAGGTTGCACCTGATGTCGGTCATGGGGTTGGGGCTAGAGTTTAGTTTATAGTTGTGGTCCTGGCCATGGGTCCCTGACCATGGACATCTCTCTGATTTTCCCTCACTGGTGGCAGTTTAACACTGGGAGCCCTGAGATGAAGCTGACCTGTGGCTGCTCTGAGCCCCAGGCACAGTTGGCCCCTCCCTAAAATGGCATCTGATCAAGCACCCTCTTAGGACACAGCAGTTGCTTGGATTGGAGTCGCTCACCAGCTGTTGTAGCACATGGCTTGCACTGATTCCCATCACTGGTGCATTTCTCCCTGGAGCCCTCTTCCCTGGAGCTCTCTGGAATTGCCTGCTTTTACTGTGTCTCTGTAGCTTCCACCTTCCTTTCTCATGCCATGAGCCAGGGAGAAAGTGCAGGTTGTCCCTTCCTTTTTTTTTTTTTTTTGGTTTTTCTCCGGTACCGGGAACCGAACTCATGACCTTGAGCTTGCCAGGCAGGTGTTTTGCCGCTGAGCTAAATCCCCAGCCCTGTCCCTTTTTTTTGCTGTATTGTGGTCTGTCTCTTCAGTTTCTCTGTAGACGCCAGTTTTCCCTTCAGGTCCTTCTTGGGTCCCAAGGATCTACCTTTCTCCTCCTTTCCTTCCCCAGGTTGTTACAAGTTGTTATTTTCCAGTGTCTGTATTTTCCATTGTCTGCATTCCAAGAATACAGAGGGTGGTTTGCTGCTTACTGCTCTGCTGTCTTCCTGGACATCTCTCCCTGACATAGTGATTATTAAAACTCAAACCCTTGGGTAACAGATTTAACCCCAAAGGCAGCCATATACTTTACTTCTGTGTCTGGGAATTTTCTTTATTGTGAGGTTAGCCATGTGCAAAAGTATCTTGCCATATTTCATTTCATCTAGCACATTTCAGGTGTTTGTGGGGACCCCCAGCCACCCCTTCTAGTTGTTTAGTCTGTTGTGTGTCTATACTGATATCTTTTGTGGAGCTTTGTCACTGTTGTTATCCCTTCTCTCCCAGCTGGGGCTTGAACCTGTCTTCTTATGGTAGGCGAGTGCTCCCTCCCTCAGCTGTACCCCTAGACTCATAGTGTCATAAGAACCTCTTCTGATTGACCACTGAACATGTGGTGATTGTGGGCTGTGGATTATGGATCATTTCTTATATTCTCATGTATTTTTCCTATTTCTGCAGAGCAATTTTACTTTTTTTTAACTTTAAAGAGGAAATGTCTTTAAGATCCTCCAAGTAATACACCTCTTTTCCATTTGTTGCAGGTGGTGCGGTTGTGTCAAAATCCAAAGCTGGCACTAAAGAATAGTCCACCTTATATTTTAGACCTGCTGCCCGACACTTACCAGCATCTTCGTACTATCTTGTCAAGATATGAGGGGAAGATGGAGACGCTTGGAGAAAATGAGTATTTTAGGGTATTCATGGAAAATTTGATGAAGAAAACTAAACAGACCATAAGCCTTTTCAAGGAGGGAAAAGAAAGAATGTATGAAGAAAATTCTCAGCCTAGGTAATGGAGAAATACTACACAAATATTAATTCAGGTCTGTGACTGTCTGAATGGGTAACATATAGAAGCAATTGAGTTGGATTTTTTTTTGTTTGTTTGTTTTGTTTTTTGAGACAAGGTCTTACTGTGTAGCTCACTCTGGCCTTGAACTCACTGTGTAGTCCAGGCTGGCCTCGAACTCATGGCAGTCCTCCTGCCTCAACCTGCCAAGTGCTGGGATTACAGGTGTACACCACCACACCCAGCCTGGATTGAATTTTGTTAGCAGGAACAGAGAGTTGAGATATGATTTAAAGGTGTGATTTATATGAAAAGTTGCCTTGGAGGATGTTAAACCATCCTTAGTTAGATAGACTTATTTACTACTGAAAAACAGTCATGGAATTTGTTGTAGTCAAACTGGATGCAGTAGTACACATCTGTAATCCCAGTGCTCTGGGAAGTTGAAACAGGAGGATCACCAAGTTCGAGTGCAGCCTGGAGAAACCAGCAATTTAGGAAGACCCTATCTCAAAATAAAATCTGTAAAAAGGTTTGGGATGTAGCTCACTGTGAAGTTCTGGGTTCAGTTGTCAGTACTGCTGGGGAGGGGTTAGTTTGAGGCAATAGAACCTTTGGAGCATGGAAGATGATGAGACCTTGAAAAAAAGACATTTGAGGCTAAACTGAGATTGGGAGTATATAATAGGTCTGAGTTAACAGAAGCTTCTTTGCAGATTAAGTATTACAAATAAATATGGGATAATAGGGAAAAAAATAAGCTGATAGTTTAGATAACCATGGAGGGAGGCTACTAGGGATTGAAACCAGGGACTTCACATGCTGCCGTATCCTCAGTATTTTGTTTTTGGTTTTTTTTCTGTTGTTGTTCTTGTTTTGATAACGGGGGTCTTACTGAATCACTCAGGTTGGGCTTCATGTTGCAGTACACCCCGCCGCCCCCAGTCTTAACCTCCTAGAGTGCTGGGATTACAGGTGTGGGCCACCATGCAGTGCTTGACTACTTTTTTGTTTTGTAAGCAAAGTGAAATGACTTTTCCTTAATAGGCAAGAGTAATTTTTCAAATGGAGTTAAGTAGAGGCAAATGCAGTTAATTCAGTAAACATTTGAGGGATCACTTGTATTTTTTTGTACCAACTAAATACTAAAAACTAGGCTATTCTATGTGGTATTAGCTTGGTTTTTTGGTTTTTTTGTTTGTTTTGTTTTGTTTTTTGGTCTTTTTGAGACAGGGTCTCGCTATGCAGTACAGGTTGGCCTTGAGCTCACTTTGTAGTGCAGGCTGATCTCAAACTCACAATGATCCTCCTGCGTCAGCCTCCCGAGTGCTGGGATTACAGGCATGCACCACCGTGCCCGGCTGTTAGTTTGGTTGTTACTATTATTTCTTGTCTTTTTTTGAGACAGGGTTTCGCTGTGCAGTTCAGGCTAGCCTTTTTTTCTTTCATGCTAGCCTTGAGCTCATTTTGTAGCCCAGGATGGTCTCAAACTCAGTGAACCTCCTGCCTCAGCCTCCTGAGTGCTGGGAATATAGGTGTGTGTTACCATGCCGGCTTGCTTGGTTGTTATAAGTCACATAGTGGGGGAAAATAAAGAACAGCCTTTAACGGTGATGTGGGTGTGGTTGTATTTGGTTTTTTCCTAGTTGGAGATACTCATCTAGGACAATGGATAAAATAGAAATTCCACTAGCATTTCTTAGTGAGTAATTTAGTCTTGAGGAGTGAGTTCAATTAGGTGGCATTAGGTTATTATCTACAACTCAAGCAATAACCTGCTAAGTGGTATCCTTGTAATCTGTTACTCCTTTGACTCTGTTGGTTTAGATTTTGACCACCTTAGGTTTTTTTTTTTGTTAGTTTTTTGAGACAGGGTATTATTAGGCAGTTCAGGTTGGCCTTGAGCTTTTTATGTAGCCAACACTGGCCTGACTCATGTGATTCTTCTGCCTCAGCCTCCCTGGAGTGCTGGGATTATGGGCATATGCCACCATGCCCAGTGGCACACTTAGTCTTAATTTAAAATTTTCTCAAAAAACTTTTCTTGGGGCTGGGGGTTTAGCTCAGTGGCACAGTGCCTACCTGGCAAGCGCAAGGTCCTGAGTTCGATTTCCCCGTACTGGAAACCACCCCCGCCAAAAAAAAAACCGCTTTTCTTTTTACATCATTACTCTTACTATCTTTACTAAAACAAATTCCTCAGGCTTAAAGTCCGTAATAGCAGTCTTTTCTTGAAAATATTCCTGGTGACTAAATTTAATCTGTAGGAGCCTTTGTAATTTCTAGTTTATATGCAGATGAACTTTATTTCTGTGAAACCTAAAGTTTTATGACTTTTCTTAAAATGGAATCTTGAGGACTGATAGTATGGCTCAGCTGGAGTGCACTTCCCAAGTATATGTGAGTCCGTGGGTGTGAGCCCAGTGTTGCAAAAAGGAAAACAGAAAAATTGAAGAAGGGAAAAAGGAAAGAAATTTTGACAGTACTTCTTAGGTAACTAGTCATTTTGTACTGTGTCCTTTGGAGAGGTTAGGTTGAAGTATTGCAGAGTTTTTAAAAAATGGAAGGTGATAGAGTTGTGCATTCAAGTATGTAACACGACAAAGCTTTAATAGAGGTATGTACAGAATGTGATAACACAGTTTGGTGTGGTAGAATCAGAGAAGGTGGCATAGGGAAATTAGATTTTGAAGGATAAGTAGGAATTTTCTAGGCAGAGAATTGAAAGAATGGCCTGTAACACAGGAAAATGCAGGCTTCAAAACACTGGAAGTCTGGTTTGGTTTAGAATTGCAGAAGATGGATAAGTAGAAATACTGGTTGGAGTGAGAGTCAGAGGGCTGGCCTTTGATCTCCAGATTTCCTCCAGATGATAGGTTGTTATAGAACAGTTTGTTTATTTATTTTACATTATATTTTATTTGTACATTTTATATATATGTGTGTGTGTGTGTGTATATATATATATATATATATAATGGTCACATTCATCATAGAGAATTTATTCCTGTACATGATATAACTTGTTTCATTCCACCACCCACAGAACAGCTTTAGAAGAACATTTGAAAGGGGTATTGCTATGATGCCCAGGCTGAGTATCCCATGTTTAGATCATACTGCACTTCGTTGATTGTTTTATGACTAGTGGCTCATCATGGAGAGGCAGTATAGTATATTGGTTAAGCAGATGGATTCTGAAACCAACTGCCAAGTTGGAAGGTGGACTTTGCCACTTTCTCAGCTATGTGATTTCTGTTTCCTCATCTGTACAGTGAGGGGTGATAGTAATACTTGCATTGTAGGATTGTCAGAATTTATTGAATGAGTAGCTAAAATGTTGAGTACTTAGAAAAGTGAATGGCATGATGAAAGTGATAAATGGGTTAACTTCTTTATTATAGATTATTGCAAGAAATTATGTGTCTGTGATAAAGTCTATAGGTTGAACTTGCTAAATGTGTATTTGTAAATATATGACATACTAAAATGTAAGTGTATATAGTTCGCTCTTACCAAATGACTTCAGGCTGTGCTAACAAGTTCTTTTGCTTCTATTTAAACTTCACTGTCAGTATACCTGTTGCCATATCAATGCAGTTTCCTCTAAATTTTTTTTTTTTTGTACTGGGAATTGAACTTAGGACCTTGTCCTTGCCGGGCAGGCGCTTGTGTTGCTGGGCTATATCCCTGGTTTTTCCCTAAATACTCACGTTTTGATCCTCTGTGAACTTTCGGTCTATATAACCCAGTTATATAACCCTGATCTGTACAAATTACTATATATATAAAGTGAGGATAAATAGATTTCAGGTAAGAGCTGGTTTCTTTTGGTAAGGGAAAATACATGAGGTTTAGTATATGATCTGTGAAATTATGATTTGGATATTTTAGAGGCTTTTTCATTTTTTGGGTTAGCTATAATTTACATACCATAAAATTTATTCTGTCCTTTTTTTTTGAGTACTACTAAGGCTTGAACCTTTTGTTAGGAAGTACTGTACCTCTGAGCTACATCCTCAGCAGCCCCCCTTTTAAAATTCTTTTTTTAAGCTGGGCATGGTGGTGCGTGCCTGTAATCCCAGCACTTGGGAAACTGAGGCAGGAGGATCGTTGCAAGTTCGAGGCCAGCCTGGGCTACAAAGAGAGCTCAAGGCCAACCTGAACTGCATAGCAAGACTTTGTCTCAAAAAGACCAAAAAAAATTCTTTTATTATTTTGAGCATGGGTCTCGCTAAATTGTCCAGGCTGGTCTCAAACTTGTTGGCCTCCCCAGTAGCTGAGATTACAGGTCCATCCCATTTCCTTTCCCAGCCCTGTCCTAGATTTTTATTTGTGGGGTTTTTTTTGGAGAGGGTTTCAGGATGGAGTCCAGGCTCGAGCTGTGATTACAGGTGTGTGCCACCACACCTGACTGTCTTGGAGGTTTCTTGCTAAGCTAAATCCTCAGCCTGCTTTTTTTTTTTTTTTAGAAAATTATCAATGTTTATGGTTTTACATATTGTTACCTAGAAGATAGTTTCTCAGGAAAACAAATAGACAAATAATAGTGAGTTACAGACAAAAGAGGTAGGAGATTATCAATAGTAGTTGTACTGTACTTCGGTATCTTCAAAGTGGCTTCTAAAGAAAATAAATAGAACTATACATGAGTGACCTATTGAATAATCATTAACTTTTCTCAATGGTTGTTGTAGGAAACACATAACGATAGACATGCATCCATTTACAAAATAGGATAGGAACAATACAAACATTGCAGAGTTATGGATAGATTAGTAGGAAAATATCAATGGCTGCTGTAATACATGGTGGTATCTTCAAAGTGGTTTCTCAGGAAGACAGAGATTCGCAAGAAGGATCTAACAAGTAGTTACAGTGTAAGGGTTGTCAAAAATCAAGTGAGCCATCTGGGGCGAAAGCCATTTTTTGTAGCATTTTCTCTCCAGCCTCCCATCGCATTGGGACCCCACAACCAGTTAGTGTCCTCTCCTCAATTG